AGTGGAATAAGTGCTTCCCTGGCAAGTGCAAGGGCCTAAGTTCAATCCCTGATTCTGCCAAAAAAATAAATAAGTAAAATAAAATGAAAACTGTTTCCCTAATTAAAGTTTAAAAAAATAGGAGAAAACATAAAAGATTGGAAACATTGCATGAATAGTACAGAAAAGAATTACAATGCAGATATCTAGAAAATTAAGAATTCCATTGAGGGCTGAGAAAACGCTGTCTGGCTCTTGGATCTCCTTTTCTCTCTCTTTTTGTCTTGGTTTGTTGGTCTCTATCTATCTTGCTTGCTGTCCTGGTCTGTCTGTCTCTCCCATGTCCCTTTCTCTCTTCCTCACTCGGTCTGGCTCCATGCTGACCCTGACTGCACAGCCTCAAGTGCTGTTTCTCCTTGTGCTCCGACTCCTGTGAGTTGGCAGGGACCCGCTAGCCCTCATCTCTTTGCATTCGTTTCCTCGTGGTCTCACCGCTGTCCCTATATTTGCGCCTCCAGCTCAGATCCCTCTCCAGGACTCCAGAGTGCCATCCATGCACGAGCCTCGGGGGCCGTTGTTGGTAGGAGGTCTGGTGCCAGCTCAACATTAGAAAACTGTTGCCCTAGAGTCCTGATTTCCACCTGCCTCCCAGTGGTACTTCTGTCTGCCCTCACATCTAATGAGACATCACTGCAAATTAGCTGGCTCTCATTTCCAAACATAAGGCAGACTTTGATTTTGTTTGTCTATCTGAGCTTGTGTCGAATACGTGAGCAAATATATTTACCCTGACTTTAAAATATGACCAGATCCTGCCTAACCTTCAGAGCAGCTGTCATAGATCTGCGAAGTCAGCTCATGCTGACTCACTGCTAGTGCTGGGTAATGCCATGTTACTTTTTGTACCAGGAAACAAACACAGGGCTTTGCAGTGCCAGGTAGGTGCTCTGCCTCGGAGCTACATCCCCAGCTCCTAGAGGAACTTTTTCATATGGACTTTGTAAGCTGTCCTTTCCAAACAGCTGCCATGAAGTGTTGAAAAATATGCACACACTCACTTGAATAGTGATACCCCAGGGACTGTTGAATGTTGTTTGTAAATGGTCCTGAAGACAAGGGCAGCAAGTGAGTATTCACTGTCCCCATTATCAAACTCTCCTACATTTAACTTTGACGATGGTAGTGGTTTTGGAGGATTTTCACAAAAAGGAAGAAAGAGAAACTATTGAGATTTCCCAACCAGCAAGAGGACGTGTGGAAGAAAGCTTCCCCAAACTTTCCTCTGGAAAGTATCATATTAGGACTTCTTGTTTGCCTCTAAAATGCCTGGAAAGAAAGATCCCTGTGGAGCCTAAGCCGTGTATGTCTTCGTGAGTGGTAATGTGGAACAACGGCAAAATTCGTGCATAAAATATATCCAATGGCTGCTATGTGGTGTGAAAAATTTTGTAAGAATTTCCTTGTCCCTTTATGTGGAGGTTCTATTCCTGGTTGTCATCCAGTGAGGATCCTTCACCTTCTCTGGGTTCAGCGCCAGTGTAAGAAGAGGCAGAGTCCCAGGGTGGAGGCTCACCTCTGCCTTGATTCTTGGATGAGAAAATGAGATAGGACTGGAGTTGTTACTGGCCAGGATTTGTCCTCATCATGGGGTCAGGAAGACTAAGAGCCATGTATGATACGGAGTTTCTGGATAAGCCACGGCCTTGCTTGAAGCCAGGCCTGGGAGCCCCGAAGAGATCTCTTCAACACTGCCCCTTTTGCGATGGGGCAGCGCTCCAGAATCGTCACAGAGACTGAGAGCGCAGTGCACTGTCACAGTGTACTCACTGGATGAGGACATGGTAAGAGTGCACATGCCAGATAAAGTGCACATCTTACAAGGCATTTCTGTCTTATAAATCACTTTATGCTAAATTCATTGTTGTGTACTTGATTTGACTTCACAAATTTTCATAAATGGAGAGAATTTTCAAGGCCAAAGGCCCCTGGGCAGGTCCGCTCCGTCGTCCTCTCCCTGTGCCAGCGTCCTGAGCACAGCGCAGGGCTTGCTGCTCTGCTGTCATCCTCACTCTCTGCCTGGGTAGAGCCCTCAGCTGCGAGGTGTTGCTAGAGTCCCCAGCCTCTGCCCTCACACAGCGCGGTCTGCGCTGTGCTGCTCCCCAGACAGCAGGGCAGGCGCAGCTGGGCCTCCGGGAAGGAGTTTGTGTTCAGGGCTGTAGCACTGTGGGTGGATCATGAGTACCCTGCAGGCAGTAGTAAAGTCCAGCGTCCTCAGCCTCCACCCTGCTGATAGTGAGTGTGAAGTCTGTCCCTGACCCACTGCCACTGATCCTGTCTGAGATGCCAGGATTCCGGTTAGATACCAGGTAGATCAGGCCCCATGGAGCCTGGCCTGGCTTGTGTACAATCCAGTACAAGTAGGTGTTTCCAGTTCTATGCAGGAGGCTCTGACTGGACCTGCAGGAGAAGGACGCCGTCCCTCCCAGGCTGATGGACAGCACCTGTGGGGTCTGGGTCAGCACCACATCTCCCCTGGATCCTAAAATGAGTATGAGAAGTGTAAGGTCATGGGCAGATATCAAGGCATTTTCATAGTTTTCTCGTTTTGTTATTCTGAAGAAAATTATTAAGGTATTTTAATATACAGAGCAAACATTTTGTTTTGAGGTGGCTCCCAAGATTCTAATCACAAAGAAACCATGAAAATTTATGTCAACATCCCTATGTCTCTTTGTAACAATTTTCATGGGAGGCCAGGTCCTAAGTCTTTTAATAATTCTGTTCATTCACTGGCCTAACCTCATACACCCAGGCTGCAAGAGAGGGCTGCACATCTCACGTAGGTGCAGAGAGCTCATGCAGGCGGCAGGGGCATCCTCGAAGACACAGTGGCCTCCTCACTTCTGCTCATCTCCCCCACCCCCATCCTCACCAGGGATCCGGAGCAGCAGCAGCCCCAGGAGCTGAAGAGGGAGCCTCATGGTGAGAAGTTGAGCTGCAGAGTCCTGCTCAGGGAAGGCAAAGTTAGAGCCAGCCTTTATGTCCCAGGTGCTGGGGGAGGTCCTTCCTGGGGACACAATGCAAATACCCTGGTAGGGGCAGCAGTGTGGAAAGAGTGCAGAGTGCAGAGTGCAAGGGCAGTCTGCTCATGGGAGCCCAGGGGGATAAGAGGCTCTGACTGGACATGCAGGAGAAGGAGGCCGGCTCTTCTGTGTTTGAGGAAACACAATCAGCAGGGTGGAGGCTGAGGATGCTGGAGTTTATTACAGTTGGCAAGTTACTCATGATCCACCCACAGTGATGCAGGTCTTGTGCTCTGTGTTTGGAAGAAACCAATAGAGCTAAATCCATGCTGCCGCAGCAGTAGGCGTGGGGATTCCCTGGAACACCTGCATCTGCAGCAGGGATAGCGTGCTGAGGTCTCTGTGTCTCTAGGACATGTCCCGTGTGTGCAGGTCAGTCTCTGTGAGGGGAGGTTTCATGCTTGTAGCCTAATTGATTAGACTGAAGTGACTGACTTCTTGGCTACTCACTCTCAGCATTTTCTGCTCTTGCCAGCATGGAGCAGTAGCGTGAAGCCCTTCTGATGGGATGGGGTTTATTCTTGTCATGTTGGAAACAAGATTAGAAATTCTTTTACTAGACCTCAAAATTAAATGAGAGAAGAGAACTAAAATGAAAAGAATATGATACAGAAAAAAAATTGTGTTCTAGATTACTGCTCCAGATTACCAGATTCTGCAAGGTCCATAAATTCTCCCCGCACTATACCCCAAGATAGTGAAGGAGAAGCTTCAGTTTGTTCATAGCTAGTGAAAAGTAAATCATTTTTGTGATCTTGGTACATCAACCACAGTATTATATTTTTATAAATTAACTAATGATATGACAGGCAGACTTCTATATAGTGATCACAATTCTCGTAGGGAATTTATGCCTGTACCTGACACAGCTTGCTTCTTTTCGCTCCCCATTTGTTCTCTTGGCTTGTCACAGCCGAGATTCAAAGTGGTGTCCACACTTGTGTGTCCCGTACATTGCCCTGAAGAGAATGGTCTCAATATGCGCACACTGACCTAGACGTGTCTCAGTCTTATCCCTTCTTGTGTCACAATAGTGGCCCAATGTATCAGAAACCCACGTAGTATTTATCTGTCCATCACTTGATGGGCATTTGGGTTGATCCTGAGATTTGGGAACTACAAGCCATGCTTCTTTAAAATGGGTGTACATAGGTCACTGTGGATTGATGTTTTTTACTTCTTTTGATAAGGCACAAAGAAAGGGGATAGCTGGATCCTCTAGTCCCAGTTTTTGGTCAATGTCCAGACTGATTTCCACAATGGTTGCCCGAGTCCACGCTCCCACTCAGAGTGGAGTTGGCTTCTTTTTCCCCCACAACCGTGTTCTTGCCTGATTTCCTGACAGTGGCCTTTCCTCCTGTGCTGAGATGGAATCTCAGGGTTGTGTGAGTTTGCATTTCTTGAGTGACCAGTGGTGTTGAACATTTTCACATATTTATTTGCCATATCTGCTCTTAAGGATATCTGTTTATTTGAGATGCTCGATTTGGGACTGGTTCTTTACATCTGGTGGCCTGATTTTTTTTTAGCTCCTTATGTATTCTATCCGGTAGTCTTTTGAGGAACAGCTGACAAATTGTTTTCCTATACTGTGAGCTGTCTCTTCATTCTGCTGGTGGTTTCTCTGACAGTACAAAAGTTTTTTTTAATAAGATGAGATTCCTGTTGCTGTTGAATTGTGATATTTCCTGTGTATCTGGGTACTTGTTCGTAAAGTTTTTGCCTAAAGTTATATCTTCAACTGTCTTACCTACTCTATGCACCCACAGATTATTTTTTTTTTCTGTTTTAATGTTTATATTTATTCTCTTCTAATTTTATATTTCTTTATTTATTTACTTTGTGTACAGGATCTTGCTGTGCAGCTCAGCCCTGTAGTCATCCTCTTGTCTCAGTCTCCCTAGAGCTGGACTTACAAGCAAGTGCTACCATGCTCAGTTTTGGTGGTTAACACATCACGCTCAGGGTTTGGGGACCAGCAAGGCCTGTGGTACTGGGCATCAAACTTGGGCACTTAAACTTGGCAAGCAGGTGCTTAGACCACCAACCTATATTCCTAGTCCTTCTCCTTCCATTTTAGTTTAGTGCGTGGTGATAGTTATAGTTCTAGTTAAAGACTTCGGCAAGCTGAAAGCCAGTTTTTCCAACACTATTTATTAAAAGGCAGGGCTGGCCAAATAGCTCAGTGGATTAGAGCACCTGCTTAGAGAGACACAGAGGCCCGGGGTTTGATCCCCGTGCCTGCCGTGCCTATCCTGCCCTGGTGTGCGATGAGACTGAGATTGAGATAGGGCGTGTTGGCGCATGCCTGTAATCCCAGCATTTGGGAGGCTGCAAACAGGAGGATCACTACGAGTCTGATCTACGTAGTGAGACTCTGTATACACCCTGTCCACCCTGTCCTAAATAAAAAAAAAAAAGAAGAAGAATTATTGAAAGGCTGCCTTTCTTTTTTTTTTCCAGGTAAATGTGTTTGTTGCCTTTGTGAAAGATGAGGTGGCTCTGTGTATTTATATTTGTTTTTGGATTTATCCAGCTGTGCCTGGCTTAGGTCTGGCTGCTGTGCTCAGCTCCTTCCTGCTGCTGCCCTTGGGGGTGAACCTGTTGTGCCCCTCTGGCAAGATTTTCTGCTCCTGGACTAGCTGGGTAGTTCTATCCTCTATACTCTCTGCAGGGATTGCAGCTGCAGGGTTTCACCCCAGGCCTGTATGCAGGCCTGAGCTGAGCCTGGAGGGGACAAGGTGGCGTAGGGGGGAGAGGCAACTCTCCCACACACTCACTGGACCTGGGCTAGGACTGGGTCTGGGGGTTCCCTGAACACGGCAGAAATTCCTACTCAGCGGGTGGGGTGGGGGAGGTGCTGTGGAGTGGTGGGGTGCGTCCCAAGGGGGTGGAAGAGGGTCTCACTCATACTGCGCTGCGCCTGGGCTGGGACCAGTAGTAGGTCCTGGCGGTTCAGGGTAGCTGGAAGCTCTCCCACACACTCACTGGGCCTGGGCTAGGACTGGGTCTGGGGGTTCTGTATTTGTTTTTGCATCTTTGAGTCTGATCCATTGATTCCCGGCTCTGATTTTTGCTAGGACCATGACCTTTTTATCACAGGGTCTTTGCAGTACAGATTCAAGCCATGATCCTGATGCCCCTGGATTGCCTTTGCTGTCCAGAATGGTTTTGGTATTCTGTGTCTCTCTGGTTCCAAATGAATTTTAGAATTGTTTTCTGTAACCCCTGTGACATCTGGTTGGACATTTGATTAGCATTGTATTATTGTATGTAATAATTTTGTGACTAGGACCATTTTTACTATATTGGTTCTTTTTTTTTTTTGGAACCAGGGATTGAGCTCAGGCCCTTGCGCTTGCCAGGGAAGCACTTATTCTACTGAGCCATCTCCCCAGGCCAAGGATCTACAGGGTCTCACTATGTAGATTGGAGCTATAGTGATCCTTCAAGCACTGGGATTACAGGAGCGGGTCACCACACCCTGTCTCAGTTGACATCTCAACACACCCTAGGGGCAGGCTGGCACAGCTTTTTGGTGCCCAGCCCCTGCACTTTGCCCAAAATGCGCTTTAGTCTGCTGAGCTATCTGGCTGGCCCTGCTGTATTGGTTCTGTCTACCGAGAAAAAGGGATATGTTTCCATTTTTTGATATCCTCTTTACTTTCTTTTTAATGAGTAGTGCAGTGGTTTATTTTATTTTTTTTTATGGTGGTACCAGGGATTTAGCTCAGGACCCTCTGCTTCCCAGACAGGCAATTATGCTGCTGAGCTGTCTTCCTGGCCCCCGTAGCTTTTACTTCAGCAGTCCTTTACGTTTTTCTTAAGAGGCTTCCCTAGGTATTTCCTTTTATGGATGCTATTGTGAAGTGTGCTCTTTCCCTAATTTCTTTCTCAGTGAGTTTATTATTCTTGTATACAAATGCTGTTGATCTTTGTTGGTGTTGACACATTAGCCCTCCAGGCTACTGAAGTTGGTTATTAAGTCAGAACTCTTTTGAGGCTCTTTCAGAGTCTTCCAAGTAAAGTATCATGTCATCTGTGAATGATTGTTTAACCTCTTTCTTTGTTTTCATTGTTCTTTTTATTCTGTCTTTTGTCTAATTTCTCTGGCTAAAATTTCTAGAACCATGTTGAATAAGAGTGGTGACAGTGGACATCTGTGTTTTGTTCTCGATTTTAGAGTGAAAGGTTTTAGTTTTCTTCCATTCAGTGAGTTGCGGGTTGTCAATTTTTCTTAGATGCTTTTTATCAGATTGAGACAAAGACCATCTGCTCCAATTCCCTGTAGGGTTATGTTATTTTGAATTGGTGTTCTGTATTGCCGAATGCTTTCTGTGCGTTTATTCTGATGATCATAGGGATCTCCTCCGTGGCTCTGTTAAGATGGCATTTCACAATTATGGATTTGGATATGTTAAACCATTCTCTGTATCCGTGCAATGAATCCTGCCTGGACATGGTGTGTAGTCTTCTTGGTGATTGGTTACTTTGCTAGTATCTTTTTTTTTTTATTTATTTATTTCATTTATTTTGTGTGTGTGGCCAGCTCAGCCCACCAGGGGGCAGGGCTGGCTGGCATGTGGTGCTGGGGGATTGAACCGTGGTCCCTGTGCTTTGTTAAGTTTGTTCTAAGTAGGTGCTTTAGACCACTGAGCCATCTCACCAGCCCACTTTGCTAGTATCTTATAGAAAATGTGTATGTCTATGTTCATTCGGGAGATGCCCTGTAGCTCTCTTTCTTGTGGGCCCTTTTCTGGGTTTGGTATCAGCATAATGCTTGCCTCCAGAAATGAACTGGGGAATACTGGTTCCCTTTCCATTTCATTAAAGAGCTTAGGGCATGGTGGCATTAGATCTTCCCTAAATTTCTTGTTGAATTTTGCAGTCAAACATCAGAGAATGGGAGCCTTTTGTTTGTTGGTGTTGAATTACAACTTTGATTTTATTGATTTATATTGGTTAATTTGGAATTGTATTCGGTCTTCTTTCAGGTCTGTAATTGGTATGTGTGAAGAAATCTGCCCATTTCTTCTGGATTTCTTGATAGCTGTAAACATCATATTATCTCCCTGGTATTAGAGAGTGAATGAGTGGGTAAGGTCTAAAACGTACCATAGATATTGTGAAATGGGAAGAAATGGTTCTCTAGGAAAATGGCACTGGGCTGGGGGAATGCGAAACAGAAAGGAAAGATGGAAAATAGAAGACCAGTATAATATTAATGTCTCTAAGTTGATTGAAAAGGAAGGTTTGTGCTAAGAGTGATTTGGAAAATTTTATTACCATTATCTGAGAAACAACTTTAAAGATATCAACACATGGGGCTGGTGGGATGGCTCGGTGGTCTGGAGCATCTACTTAGAACAAGCTTAGCAAAGCACAAGGGACCGCGGTTCGGTCCCCCAGCACCACATGCCAGCCAGCCCCACCCCCTGGTGGGCTGAGCTGGCCACACACACACACACACACACACACACAAATATTTTTTTTAAAAGAGATAACACACACTGTTAGTAATTTCCATTCTCCTGTTATTTTGTTATGAAAGTTTTTGTTACTCTTTTTTCTGTAAAAGAAATACTAAAGATATGACTTTTGTTAGTTAAGTTTTTTTTTTTTTTGTTAAGTTTGATTAGTAGCAAAACATTAATCTCTAGTTCTATATTGTGGCTCTGAGGTACTTGAAGAATTATATGTTTTGTGTATCTTTGTATATTTATTTATTTTGTGTGCGTGTGCTGGTGTGTGTCGTTATTTATTGCATTCAGTGCTCTCAGGCTGAGAGCAGCGCCCTGGGCCTGTGACGTCAGCGTGGAGGCAGGGGAGCTGCTCTAAGGCCCAGAAGGGCTCCTGAGCTGTAGTGGCCCGAGGGGGAGGCGGGCCTGAGATGCAGATACAGTGATGGGAGGAGCTCTGAGCAGGGAGTTGATGACAAGAGTCATCTAGCAGCAGAGTTCCTTTCCTTGTGAGCCTGTTTGCAACAGGTAGAGTAGGAATCATGGTACTATGAGGCATCCGGCACCTTGTCCAGAGGTTCAGCACTGTGAGATACTGGATGCGCTTCTGCAGTGATTAAGCTAGATTACAGCGTGATGGGTCAAGTTTTTCAGTGTGTTTGAAAGCAGAAATCCAAGAAAATCAATTCCCAAGAGTCTGCAGTGCATGAGAATCACCAGTAGGGAGCAGCACGAGCCCACTTCTTTATAAAAGTTATCTTAAAAATCTTCCAGTTGATCAGAAAATTTGGGACACTACCGAGTTACATGATGTTACAGTACAAGTTCTTATTTGTCCTGAGTTTTAATTGACCTTAGACGGTTAGGGCCAAAATGTTGGCTTTCGTTGTGGCCCTCCTTTTTCTTTAATTTTGGTCTGCAAACTTAGGTTGTTAACCCTCCAGAAGAGAAGCTTATTGTTATTACCATACAACCTAGGCTGTTAAGCTTAACCCCACTATCTGTCTGAATATCAAACATCTTAGGCATCACATGGAACAGGTGTTTTTCATCAGGTATTGATATGTTGAACTTTAAGTCCCTACAGAATATGATGAAAAAACATTTAAAATTAGAATATATTTTTAAAATAGGCATAACAGGGGCTGGTGAGATGGCTCAGTGGTCTAAAGCACCTACTTAGAACAAGCTAAGCTAAGCAAAGCGCAGGGACCGCGGTTCAATCCCCCAGCACCACATGCCAGCCAGCCCCACCCCCTGGTGGGCTGAACTGGCCACACACACACACACACACACACACACACACACACACACAATAAATAAATAAAAAAAAATAAAATAGGCATAACAAATTATATAATTCTTATGTTGACATGTAAGTCCAAAAATCTAACCATATACAACCTTGAAGCGGGACAGTCCCACAGCATTCCTTTTCCTGTCTCCTGCCTTCATTCACTACCCCCTTCTTTTTGAACAGTCAT